TTCTCTTTCACTACTACCCCATCAACTCTGACACTGAAGGCGCAGCCCGATTTGATTCCCCTGTTGACAGATCCTTCCGTGAAGATCACAGCATCTCCATGTTCGCCATGCTCTTCTAACAGGGTTTCAATTTCACAGTTTGTAGCTCCAATTGGCCAGTTGCGACATTCCCTGCCCAATGTTGCCTTAACTGTTGTGTACTCTCCGAGCGCATCTTCGACCACAACCCCATCCCTGTCTCTCCTGATGTCTTGTATCTGGCAGCACACTACGGTACAGGTTTTCCTAACAAATTTCCATTTCAAGGGTGATAATTTCATTAGTTATCAATATCACACAATTCTTGTCAATTCCCGACTTATTATGGCAGAAATATTGTTATTAGGCTACCTTTTAGTTTTTTTTACTTGTAACTAGAACCACTAAAACAAAACTTCGAAATATTATGCAGCTGTTCCAGGCCATGAGCGTTGAGATATTATTATAGTATAATTTATTATTATTGATACGATCCAAGTTTGATAACTCAATAGTTGCTTAATGAGAAACATTTTCCTGAGTTGTTTCCCTTATCCCGAGACCTCGCTTCCTGGATTTGAACTTGGCTTTGGTTATCACAATTCTCCTCTTTCGGTAGTGGAGAATCTTTGATCACAGGGCCACGATCAGACTAAAATAAAGAATGATTTTTTGAAATTTTAAAAAGGAATAGATCTGTAGTGAAAGTTTTACTGCACCTTCAACACCTTAAGATCTTAGAAGAACTTAAAAAACTGCGTGCGCTGGCGCTTAGAAAACTCTTCTTCAAGAAAGAAAAAACTGCTGTTCGTCAGTGTGGTTGTCGTTGTGAAATGGTAGAGGTTTAACGCCCTTGCTCACACTAGTAGGTTATTCAAGAGTTTAACGTCCATCTCTGAAAGGTCTGAGCCAAATAGGAATTTCTCGTAAAGTGACTTTCACAGGGACATACGTGGATTTTGTGCATGCCTAGTTGAAACGTGAAAAGAAGCCTTGAAAAAGCTAGCGCCTGTGGTAAAACACAATACTGTGTTAGTTGTGACATCTAGGAATGCTGAGAATCTAATAGATTAAAATCATTACTGAAAGTGAAACAAACAAACGCACAAGTTACTTAGATCCGTAGGAGGACAAAGAAACAAACATGTTTTCAGCATTTCCGAACAGAGCTAGGCTACGATAGACTTTAGGCGTGCAAACAAACAGTTAAAAACCTATCTCCTGTGGTAAAACATTATAGCCTATCGTCTTGTTTCTTTCAATTAGGCATGCACAAAACCTAATATAACCTTTACTGAAAGTGTAACGACCAACTGCACAAGTTACTAAAATCTGTAGGAGGTAAAAGAAATAAAGATGCTTTCAGCTTTTTTTCGTTTTTTTTTTCTGGAACAAATTAAGGTTAAAATAGAGTTTAGTCGTGCAGAGAAAAAAATAAACAAAGGTAAAATGTTACCTCCGATGGTAAAACACTATATTTTAAAGGTTGTTTTAAATAGGCATGAACAAAATCTAATAGCTATAACCATTACTGAAAGTGTAACGGCCGACCACACAAATTACTCAAAACCGTAGGATGACAAAGAAATAAAGGTGCTTCCAGCTTTTCAGACACATCTAGACTTGGACAGTGTATAGTCTTACAAAGAAGCCGAGAAAAAGCTAGCTCCTGTGATAAAACACAATACAGTTTTAGTTGTGACATCTAGGAATGCTGAGAATCTAATAGAGTATAATAACCATTACTGAAAGTGTAACGACCGACCACACACAACCCTACAAATTACTCAAATCCGAAGGAGGTCAAAGAGATAAAGATGCTTTCAGCTTTTTTAAAACACACATCAAAGTTAAAATAGAGTTTAGTTGTGAAGAAAAAAAATCGGTAATAAATCTCTTTCCTATGGCAAAGCACGATATCATAATTTGGTCTTACATTAGTGGTCGGGATACCTTGGACAGTGCACGAAGTCTCCCTTCATGGGGGTTTTAAAGTTTTAGTAAGAGTTTTACAGCACTTGCAACACAATAAGGTCATATAAGGGCCGAAGATTAAAGGTGTTACAAGAGAGTAACAAACACAAAAAAGAAGGAGGGGAGATAGAGAGACAATATTTTTTTTTAATAGGAAAGAAGGAGCAAACCACACCAGAGCACCCGCCAACCACCATCACGGGGGTATACTAGAGTAGGAAATATGTTCATGAAACAGTCATTATGAAAGTCATATGTTTAATTTTATGAATTTGGCATGAAACAGACACCCTGAAACACAGATGCATACTTTTGTTTGGTGTACTATTGTGACGTTTAAACCTTGCAAACTGAGATGTGAGAATTAAGATACACTCTTGTCAAAAGCACAATTTCGTTCACAGAAGACGCAACATTTCGCTCAGAGAGGTGGCGAAAAACACAACAATTCAAGCCAAACCTCAAATGGCACATTATATGATCCAGCGACAAAATTTGTGCTATCAATAGTTTTGCCATAATTGACGTGTTCAAATTCTTCCCATATCCGAGGTCAACACGCTCCCCCTACACACACACACACACACACAGTGCGATGAACGAAGGCACACATATATATAGATATATATAGATATATATTTTTTACTTAAGTGTGGTTCTATACAAAACACAGAAAGCTTTATATAAATATATATATATTTCGACTCTTTGTTTGACGATATATTTTTTTAAGTCCGTTTATCGAACGGTTACCCAGCTAGTATATAAACTATATATATATATATATGTGTGTGTGTGTGTGTGTGTGTGTGTGTGTGTGTGTGTGTGTGTG